GTTGGATTCATTTAAGGAAGGAACATTTTTCTAAAGGTTAACATGGAAAGTTACATCTTAGAGCTGATGGCTCTTTTTTGAATTTTGAGGAAGATTTATCATAATGCATTTAAGGTAGAGTTGCCTGAAAATTATGGTGTCTCGATTACCTTTCAATATCTCTAACCTTTTACCATATATTGGTGATGAAGATGATCCTGATTCGAGATTGAATCTTCTTAACCATGGGAGAATGTCACAGGTATTGGAGCAAAAATTGAAAAATTGACAGCAATAACTCAGCATAAAATAATCAACCGTTAGTCAACTTCAATAATAATAATTATTTTTTTATTGAGAAAGATTTATGGTGCATATTTTATATGGTTGGAAAGATCTTCAAGTCTAGTTTTCATAATAAATTACGGATCTAAAAAATAATATTTTGCTGAGTCATCTTCTTATTGTGAACCTTGGTATCTTCGTATTAAGTCTTTATCTATCTTTATTAGTTTACATTTATTTAAAATCTAAGTTGATGTTTTCAATATTTTGAGAATGTTCATATCTAATTTATTTATTTTGACTGACTTGGACGGTTGTTCCAAGTCTCGCATATATAATTACTATATTTTGTAAGTTTGGAGAGACAATTTTGAAAACTAAAATTTTTCTTAAGCTATTAAACTTGTTAGAAGATATTGTCTTCTTATATATTACTCTAAATTCTTTTGATGGATTCCTAGAGTGGAGAGTATTGAGTGTTCTCTTGTGGTCTCTTCTACTTTTTTAATCTCTCGGCATAAAAAAATGTATCTATATTTCAAATTTTTAGTTATAAATATTGATTTATATGCAAGATATGAAAATAAGACAATTATTTCATGTAAAATTTAAAATGTAAAAATTATGGAGAACATGAAAATAATTTATTGTAGATAAAGGATTATTACATAGTACAAGATTCCAAAGAAAACACTAAAGAAACTTAAGATATTTTCAAAATTCTATTGGAATCAAATCAAAGTTGCTGTTACTAAAGGAGTACAATCTTGAAAGTAAAAGAGTATTATTATTATTATTCTTATTATTCTTATCTGAATTTGAAGAATTTGAGACAATATTTGCATCTAAATAAAATTTTAAATGAAATAGAGTTCGCTCATTTTGAAGAATGACAGGTTAACCAGAGTAAGGATTATGCTAATGAACAAGGGCCATATAGATGAACAAGATCAAAGTTTTGATAATAAAAATATGCTGAAAGAGTACTTAGACTAGATTGTTTACCTAGATCATCAAATTGCTCGTCAAAAGTAGAAACTTGCAACCAATCAATTTGGCCGCATGTAATTTATAGAAGCAAACAAGGATATTTCGTTAAGAAAGACTTTACTAGATTCAAGTATATATTGGTGAAGGAATTCAAAATTCGAGTTACAATAATTTAGAGATCGCAAATCTAGGCTTGAGAGGATGGACACTCAATTGCCTTTAGGAGATGAATTACAATTTGAGCATAAATTTGAGTAATTTGAGCATGAATTTGAGTAATTTGTATGATTTTGTGATTATATATATATATATATTTGGTATTTACGTTTTTAAAAATTTTTAGATTGTATATTTGATATTTGATAGAAATTTTATATCCGAATCATTTCAAAGATGATTAAATTACAAGTTCAAGTCACATTGAAGATTATTGAATAAATCAATTTAAATGCTATAATTTTAGAGGATGAGTTTAAATTTTTACATTATCAACACAAAGTGAAAATAAAAACACACCGCATATAAATATATTTAACAAATAAATTTATAAATATAATTATAAATACACACCCTCACTGTATTATTTATAATATCAAATAATATTAGTTAAATTAATTATTCAACAATTTCATTGGACTTTCATTATTCATTCATTTTTACCTGATATTATTGGCCTACATTACTTAAAAATATCATTACAAATATAAATTTATACTTAATCTCCTAATAACAATAATAAAGAATTCTTTTAAGATATCTTCACATATGGTCCAACAAAATTTCCAAAATTCAATATTATTGGACAACATAAAAATTTTATTAATCAAAACTATATTATTGATATGTACTTGCATATGAGACTCACTTAAAATCTATTCAAAATTTTTTATTTCTATCACTCTTTTTAATAAACAAACTCACTATTTATTTGTAAAATTAATTAATTTTAATTATAAATAAATATTTAATTTTTTTATTTTCTATATTATAAAAATTTTATTTTCTAAAAAATTATATTTATATCATATGTATTTTATTAAATAAATAAAACAATTAAATATATATTTAAAAGTTTTTAATCATATATATATACACACGACATTATAAATTAAATATTAAATAAATAAATTACTTCCAATTGAAAAATTCAACTACTAACCAAACGGATCCTAATAATTCTTTTTTTTCTTTATCACATTAATATACAAATTGGGTATTGGCTTTTACAACTTTAGGGTATTTTAACATTAACTTATATACTTATACAATATTTAATCTATATATATAATTTTATTATTTATTTATTAACATGCAAACAATAAATATATCTGTTATCAAATCAAAATAAGTAGTTTATAATAACAAATAAAAATGAATATATATATATATATGTAGGAGGGTGGGGTGGGGTGGGGGTCCATTGAGTATGTTGAGGGGAGGGTTGCCTTGTATATCAAGCAATGTTGTGCCCCTTTCTTTCTTTCTTTAATTTAACTACCCTCTGATCATGTCTCCTTATATTATACTACTAATATACATACAAAAATACATACATACCTATATTATATTTAAGAAAACAAATAATAATAATAATAATAATAATTTATATTATATATATAAGTATATTTTTTCATGCCAAAAGAATCATGATTACTACTCACAGCTCAATGCCCATGTGAGTTTCTATCATATATATATATATGTATGTATATTTTCCAATTCTTTTCCAGTATTTGTATCTTTATTTCATATTGATTTACCTTTTCTCCTTTCTCTTTGGTTAGCAACTTGCCTGTTTTCTTTATCACTCATGCCTACCAACCCTCTCATTCATACATATATATATATATATATATATTTAAATAATTCAGATTTCTCAATTGGGAAAAAATGGGGATATGTGTATTGAAATCATCATATATTAATTAACTTATAACATATATATATATATATATATTGAATTTCATAATCTAACTCAATATAATCTCTTCGTCTCAAAACTATAGTCGGGTTGTGTTTGTCACAGAATTTAAGAAATATTGATACTATATTGATAGTAGGTAAAAAGTACGAGTAAAAGACTTTTTTGCCCTTGTGATTGTATTAGTGCAAAAAGTAGTGATAATTGTGTAATAATAATGAAAAAGTAAAAGTAGTTTTATAGTAATATGATTATTTATGAAAATGAAATTATTATTTTGAAGCAGACAAAAATGGTAAACATGACTGTTATATTGGGATGGAGGGAGTATTATTTTACTAAGCCTCAGTGAATGAAAGACAAATTTTTTGTTGAAAGTCTTGTACGTGTTATGATTATAATTAATTTTGTCATATAAATTAGAATGAAAATAATTTTTTTTTTATGTAAACTTCATTTTTTTTTTAAATCCTAAAATTTAGAAAAATCATTGATGTTTGGCACAAAAATTTTAGTGTATGATAACTTACATCATCAGAATGAGATGATAAAACCTATATATGTATATAACAAATATATACAAGACAAAACTTGATATGTGATGTTATCCTTGAAGTCATTTCATAATCATAATTTTAATCTTTTCAACTTATTTGTCCTTTTTATATGTTTTTACATATGCACATAATTCTTTTAGCTAATCAAATAGTAAAAATTAAATTAGAATAATTCCTTAATATAATATAAATAAAAGTTGATGTAATTTTGAATTTAAATTATTTTTTATGCCTTTTAAGTCATTCATAATCTAAACCCCCCAATATAATCAAGGATGTGTTTAATTTTTTTTTTTTTCATTTTTACTTGCATACTATTCGAGTTATTATAAAATTACTTCATTAAAAAAATTACCATATTAAATACTTATTTTTTTATTTAAAATAATACAAATTAACTTTAAATACAATATATATATATATATATGAAACACAAATAAATTGTGCTCCAATATACTTTGGTTAAAATTTTGTGGTTCCCATTTTGACACCAAGAATCATAAAATATTTAACAAAACACGACTTATGTGTGCAAACATGCGGTAAAAATTTAATTACATGAAATAAAATAAAAGCCATATTTGGGATTCCTAAATTTCAGGGTTTGTTTAGATAGATGTTTTCAAAGGTTTTTGAAATTTAGAAAAAATAAAAAAGTTAAGTATTTGATTTGATGTTTTGTGAGAGAAAAAATATATTTCGTATAATATTTTTAAAAAAAATGATAGTATCAAGTTAGTGAAAATGTGTTGCGTATTTTTCACAATAAAACTTTGCTTTATATAAATACATATATATTTATTTATTTAGTGTATGTGTATGAGTGCAAACAACAGCAAAGGCCGTTTGCAAGCTTTTTTAAATTTGCTTTAACAGTCAAGAAGGCTCAATGGCATTTAAATAAATAAATAAATAAATCCATCCCCTTAAGACAGTGACACAAACAAACACCTTTATATTTCTGCTATATACTATACTATACTACACATTAATACTACACATCAGTCTCACACAAGAATCCCAAATCTTTCTCTCTCTCTCTCTCTCTCTCTCTCTCCAAACTTTCCTTCTTTCTTTCTTTCTCACTCCATTTGCAGTCCACAAGGAAAAACTGTCTACATGATGTTCTTAAATTAGCAAAGAATTAAAGGTGAGATATATAGCCCCAACTTTTCCTTTATCTCCCTACTTGCTTCACTTAAAGCCACGGGATTTCTTGTTTTTTATTTTTTTATTTATTTGTTTGTTTGGGTTTTATGCTCGAATCGAATGAATCCCTAAGACCTTCTTCGTTTTCTGTTTTGATTTCCTCTCTCTTGTTCTCCCTCTCTCTCTCTCTCTATTGATTTTTTTGTTTCAAGATTTTATTTAATTCTGTTTTGGGAAGTCTGTAATGTGTTCTCCTTCGTTTTGCTGGAGAGTATATATTCTGCAGGTTTCATAAAGTTAGGATTTTTGCAATTCAAAAAAAAAAAAAAAAAGATTATTGTTGTCTAGGTTAATATTATTGGTGTTTACTTAATTTGGATAGATTGGAAGAAGCTTTTGATGGCTTCAATTGAAGAATTTGTTGTTCTTCAGGTTCATGCACAGTACTAGGAATCTATCACTTCAATAGTTAATAATTAATTTCGAATTTGTTCAGATAGTGAATTCTTGCAAAACCCTCATCTTCCTTGGTTATTATCATTGAATAAATGGGGGTTTTTGTTTATTAGGACAAGGGAAGATGATCCTCGAATTCTTCTAGTGATGATCATTTAATGGAGTCGAACAAGCAGCTGTGGTGATGTATTCAACATAATTAGAAAATTCATACATTCGAAGAAGTGGGATTCTTTTATTGTCGATCTGGTTAAGGTTGCAATGAATAAGAACACGACTACGAGTCAGCCTGGATCCGTCAGCAGCTCTGATCTCATCGATGCCAAGCTTGAAGAGCATCAATTATGTGGTTCCAAACAGTGCCCTTGCTGCGGACACAAGCTCGAAGGAAAACCGGTACGTACGGATTATAACATCATCGTACATAATATTCTTACCTTCGTCTTCAAGATTTTAGCTTCAAGAATCAATTAAAGATATCAGAAAATATCGGATTTTTTTTTAATTTTTTTTTTCTTTTCGATATCGTGTTAGTGCAGGATTGGGTGGGTCTGCCGGCGGGGGTGAAGTTTGATCCGACAGACCAGGAACTGATCGAACATCTGGAGGCGAAGGTGGAAGGGAAGGAATCGAAATCTCATCCGTTGATCGACGAGTTCATCCCTACAATCGACGGCGAGGATGGGATTTGCTACACGCATCCAGAAAGGCTTCCAGGTTAGACAACATCGTCATCGTCGTCGTCGAGTTAGTTCTGACTATGTGGCGATTTAATTAATTAATTCGATTTCCTTTTCTTGCAAGATTTCAATTGGTTTGATTCTTTTTTCTAGGGTTTGGTCTCTGAAGTAAAGCCTAACTTTGATTAATGTCGGAATTGGAAACCCCCAATTTTGGTTTTGATTAATTTTCAGGAGTGACGAGAGATGGATTGAGCAGACACTTTTTCCACAGGCCGTCGAAGGCGTACACTACGGGGACGAGGAAGAGGAGGAAGATTCAGACCGAATGTGACCAGCAGCAAGCTTCCGGCGGCGGCGGCGGCGGTGGCGGAGGGGGAGGAGGAGGAGGAGAGACGCGGTGGCACAAAACAGGCAAAACCAGGCCTGTAATGGTGAACGGGAAGCAGAAAGGGTGTAAGAAAATTCTGGTACTGTACACCAATTTTGGTAAGAATCGGAAGCCGGAGAAGACGAATTGGGTGATGCATCAGTACCATTTGGGACAGCACGAGGAGGAGAAGGAAGGTGAGCTCGTCGTCTCCAAAATATTTTATCAGACACAGCCACGGCAGTGCAATTGGTCGGAAAAAACCGGCGCTGCAATTAGCCCCGCCGGAGAAGGAAGCATCAGATCGGAAAATCGCGCCGCCGGCGCCGGAGGAAGCTGTTCATCTTCTTCCAAGGAAATAATCCTCCCCGGAGATGAATTCTCCGGCAATCCCGCCGCCGCCGCTGTTGCAGTTAATATTTCCGGCGTTGGTGGAGCTCCGGCGATTCCGAGCTACGGCGCCGCCATTGATCATTTTGGGTTTCTGCCCTTCAGAAAACCCTTTGACGAGGTAAGTTCTTTACAATTTGATAAAATCGAGGATTTAATTAATATTATATATATATATATATAATATATAGAGACTGAAAAGAACGTCTTGATTTCCTTCAATATTCCTTTCTTCCTTCCTTCCATTGCTTCTGGAAAAAGCATGAAAATTATATTCGACATTTCTTGATAACAACAGCAGCTAATGATCTAATTCAAGATTTAGTTCAACCATACTAAAGACGACAAACATCTCTTTACATCATTTCAGATATAATAAAATAAATAAAATCAAAAGCTGCATATCTGCTTTATCAATTTAGGCATCAGACAAATCAAGATTTTCTTAATCAACAATTGAAATCCTCTAATACGAAATCAATAATAAAATTGCAGCAGCAAGGAGCTGGGGGTGGGAATATTGGGGATGCTTCAATGGCAAGGGAAGTCGTCGGCACGTGCGAGGAGCGTGACATGGGACAGCAGCAGCAGCACGTGAGGCACGAGGCTCATCACCACCACCATCGTCATCATCACCACCATCAACAGCAACTTGCAGCAGCAGCAGCTGCTGCATATCACATAAGCAGACCTTCACACTCGATTTCGACGATAATCTCAGCTCCAATGCCTCTCCATCAAACCTCCATTAACATCCTCCATCAAGACCACCCTTCACCTGCACCCACCTTCCATGTCCCCAGAATCATCCTCCCCGCAGAGACCTTCCAGGTATAAATATTTAAAAAGGGTTAATTGGGAAAAAAAAAAAAAACAAAATTAAAGTGGGCAGAAGAAATAATAATTGGGGTTTTGTTTAGAAAGGGCCATGTTTTTGGAGACAGGACATGATGACGAAGATGATTAAACATGGCTCTTTTTTCAATTTTTATGAGAATGTAATAAATTAATAATAATAATAATCAAGAATTATTACAAATTTGCAGCAGCAGCAGCAGCAACATGATCATCATAAACTAGGAGGGAGGTCTGCATCAGGATTGGAGGAACTCATCATGGGATGCACCTCAACTGACATCAAAGAGGTAAGTAAGTGTATATATATATATATATATATATATTAAATAATTAAATAAATAAATAAATTATATATATATATATATTACACCATTAATCTTCTAGACCTTTATTGACTCTGAAATGCATGCCATCATCATCATGATCATGATCATCATCGTCAATGTTATTTTGTCCAATTCTGAAACTAACTAACGATGAAAACACCATCATATGTGTTTTAAGTTTAAGCCCTTTTTGGTTCCCCACCAAATATGTTTAATAAATTTAGTTTATTACGTGCCTAGTAAGTTTAGTTTAATTTCTATATGAATTCATTTAATTATATACATATATAAGTTGTAGGATTCAATTTTTTTTTTTTTTTTAAGTTCATGTTTTTGTGAATCATAATATTTTACTTAGTAGTGTCTATTACTTTTATTTTTTTTTTTCAAAACCTTTTTCTATTATTATGTCGATATGTGCAGATATTAATATATATTATACTACTAAATAACACTATATTAATTATTATTATTATTATTATTATTATTATTATTATTTTGTCTTAGCATTAGAGTCCTTTCACATTGTGATTTTTCTCTTGGTTAATAATACTATATGGATTAAATATTTATAGATATTTATTTTCTTAAAAAAATAAAATAAAGAATATTAGTCACACTACAAAAAAAAAAAAAATATCAATTTTGTAACAAGATTTTTTCGTTCTTAAATTAATCCATTTTTTCTGTTACTAATGATATTAGAGACGGAATTAGAGACAGAATTACGTTAGCTACGTGAACTTTAGGAACGAAATTTCGTTACAAATATACTATTTTTTTGTAGTGAATCACCAGGTTAGACGTAATGCACACATTTTAATATCTATACATATTTTTACATAAGTCTGTTTATTGACATATGTATGTATATAGATATATGTTAGTCCCTAATTTTAAAACTATAGGAAATATTATTCAAACTTAATTACATGCTGCTGATAACTATATTTGGTAGTGTATTATTGGCCAAAATGCCTTCTCACTTGTCATCTTTTCTTTCTTTTATCTTTGTTAAATTAAAATTTCTATTTTTTGATGTTTTATCATATTCCATTGAATTGATATATTAGTCAATACTTATATTGTCATTTACAAGATAGATAGTAATTGATAATATGGAGCAATTTGCAACTTTCATAGCTCAAGTATAGTTCAGAGCTAAATTTAGGGTTTTCTCTCATAAAATCATGAATGTTGAAAATCTAGGGTGTTCTTATTTTCTATATATATTTTAGTTTTTAAATAACTTTCGGATGTGATATTTTTTATGAGAGAATAAAATATACTTATAGTAAACTATAGAAGTTACGTAGTAAAAAACAAATTAAAAAATCTCAAAAGAGAACAAAAACATACCCTTCTTCTTTGCCAAAGCTAATGTTAGGGGACATTTTAATTCAATAGTAAGTTCTTTTCTTTTCTTTACTTTTTTTTTTGTTAGTTTTGAAATGCATGTATTAGTTGCCCTAAATCTCAAACATAGTAATTTTAATTAGCATGCATATACATGTATGTATATATATACTTTAATTAAAACTAAAAGCCATGCAACAGCAAGAATCCTTCTTTTTGAACAAAATAAAAGTGATGGGAATGGAACTAAGCCCTTTAGCTAAGGCTGTTATATATTTTGAACAATAATATTACAAAGCCAAAAAAACAACACTAATTAGTACAAAAGAATATTGCAAAGATTTGAGAAAAGCTATCTATATATACATATAATATCTACATGCCCTTTTTTAGTAGTTCATGTCCTTTAGTGTCATCAATAAAACTAACTACACATTTAAAGAACAAAGACTTGCATCAAACCCCAAAAACTTTCCCTCTCCCTCAAGGTATCCTAAGAACCAAAGGGACAGTTTTTTCAGTTACATAACTATATTTATATATATATATATATATACATATCACATATGCGTGTGTGTGTTTCCTAGGTGGGCAATATAAAGATGATGCCACGTCAGCACACAGTTAACTTTCTTGTGTGTGTGTTGCAGGAATCAGCAATGGCAAACACACAGGAGGCAGAATGGTTGAAGTATTCCAGCTTCTGGCCAGATCCTGACAACCAGGATCATCATGGATGATGATTATATATATATACATATTATATATATATTTATTTATAGCAAATTTCAAAAGTGGTGATTTACAGAGCATGCCAAAAAGATACATCCATGGATGGAGTAAGAGAGTGCAACCAAAACATATAGATACACATACATATACATACAGCCAACACTATCTCTCTCTCTCTCTCTCCCCACAGACACACATACAGATATATATATATATATATATATAGGAAAATGATGATCAGCAGCAAAAAAAACTTTTATCATTAGCCCTTCTTCAAGTTGGTTTGTGAAAACAAAAGGGGCTAAGTGATGGTCATATTGCTGAGGGACCATTTCATCACAATATCCATTGTTGTCTTTTTTTTCTTTTTTTCTTTTTTTGGTGTAATGATTATTTTGGCCTCTGAATTCAAGGACTTGATCTCAAGAAACAAAACCCACGTTGGAAAAGGAAAGGGAAAGAAAAAGAAACAAAAGGAATTGAAAGAAGGAAAGAAAAACAATGGAGAAACAAAAGATGGTGTCATCTTCTGACAACCACAAGAGAGAAGAAGAAACCAAAGCACAAAATTCTTCCACCATCAAAATCATCACCATGATCATTACTCTTCTCATCTTTATATATATCTATTCATTCTTTTTTGTTTTTTGTTTTTCCTCTAATCACACCATTATTGGTTATTTTTGTGTAGCTCATATTTGTTGTAATACAAGAATTAAAGAAAAGAGAATATATAATCCTTCTGTCTATTAAAGATATGCTTAAATTCTTAGGAAAATTATAAATTTATATATGAGATAAATTATTATTTATATATATATATATATTTTTTGAATTTTTTTAGGACAATATTTCGACGGTAGGCTTTAATTTTGTCTTTGACGCCATAAAAATCATGTGCAAGTCACATGATCCTATGTGGCATTTTCGGCACTAAAGTGAACACTAAATGACGTTGCCGAAAAAATGTCACTCTACGTCCATCTCAGCTCTGACCGTGTTCACTTGAATGCCGACAATGTCATATAAGATCACGTAACTTTTTCTAACACCAGGAGAAAAAAATTAAAGGCTACCGTCGAGATATTTTTCTAAAATATGAAATCCAAAAAGAATGTTTAAAAATGATAGTGTGTCTCACATTTAGGAAAAAATTTATAATTTTTCTATTTTTTGGCATGAAAACTTAAAATTTTTTTCTATAGGATTGGTAAATATATGATGTAGAATATGAGCAAAAAATGTAAATGAGTGTAAAAAATATATAGGGTACACTAATGACATTGTGTAAATAAATATGAAAAAACTAATAAATAAAAATTTGAGAAAGAGTAGGTATTTTCTTACTAAAAAGGCTCTCAAAGTATAGGTTTGATTTTGGTATGAAAATAATGTTTGATATGATGTTTTGTGAGAAGAAAAACTTTTTTTTTTTTTCAAAAAATGCAGAGTCCAAATAGTAAAATGTGAGGAAACTTGGCTAAAGAAACATACCCAAATCAAATGCTGGATAAGCCCATATGCTTGAATTATCAAAAGTGAAAACTTTAGCAATTTATAAGATAATAATATGGTTGTAAAATTTTAGAACTAAACTAATCATTTGACATAGATGGAATAATAAAAATATGTGATTTTCTTTTTATAATTTCATACATATATTACAAGTCTCTAAATCTTATTTCAAAATCGAAACACCAATGTTTGAATTGTTGAGGACAATAAAATTTTAGAGTTGTCATTGTGGACTAATAGGCCAATGCTCAACTCATTTTGATAGTTGTATAGACACTTACACACAAATACACATGCATATAATTTAATTTAGGGTTTCTTCACCTAAGTAACCAATTATTGTTGATATAATTCCCGATGAATATTAATAAAACAATATGATATATACACACATATGTATAATATAAATAATATGTATACTTTATTCTCTCAGAAAAAAAAAATGTTATGTTTGTTTGGTTAGAGTTTGAAATGAAAAGTTGATTTGAGTTTTTATTTAAATAATATTTTGATATAATATTTTATGAAGAAAAAAATAGTATGTTTGGTTAGAGTTTGAAATGAAGCGTTGATTTGAGTTTTTATTTAAATAATATTTTACGAAAAAAAATAGTGTGTTTTTAATATAATCTTCGGTTGAATAGTAAAGATTTATATTTGAAATCATAAATAAACAAATCAATTATTTTTTATATAATTAACTCAATTTCTCATACATCACACTAAAAAAATAAATAAATAAATAAATAAAACGCAAAGCATATAATAAAATACAACGTGTGAAGAATGCCTAATAAAATAAACCTAAAAGTATAAAATAAAATAAAAAATGCAAAGTATAGATATAACCATCGATACCACAATGTAATATGTGCAAGATTCGGATAAAATTTTAATCAATTATTTAGAATTTGTTAATTATATTAATTTTTTTATTTAATGCGATAGTTTTATTTTGCATAAATTAAATTATTTACTTGAATTATAATGATTACCCAAAAACTTTTAAAGCTAGATTTAAATTTTGATCTCACTTAATAATATCTACTGAATCAATCAATAAATTTGATCGTGCGACTATGAATATATCAACAAGGTTTTGATATTTTTACAATATCAACACCCTGAGAGCAGCCCGCCAAAATATTGGTTCATAGAGAAAGAAATTTTATTAAACTATAGTCAAACATAAGATATATTTTTAGAATTAGTTAACAACGTACACGTGTCTTCAATTATTTACTTGAATTTTTTAGTGTGTTATTTCATATTATTGCATTTTTTTTTTCATATTTTAGTATTTAAATTTTATTTCTTTTTAAAAACAATATTACATCAAACTCTTAAAAAAAAAAAAAAAAGATGACAATGATTAAGAAAAAGTACAATATAAAACTTTAAAAAAGTTTATTATACAATTCAAATTAAGCTAAACTATGTCTAGAAGTCCTTTCAAGCCAGATATTTCACTATACTCTAACTCAACAGATTACATAAAACAAAAAAAGAAAAAAAAAACAAAAAAAAGAAAAAAAGAAACTAAAAAAGTAAAATGTATATAGAATTGAAATCCTCCGCCTATATGTAATACTCCATTCGTCTCAAAATTATAGTTTGAGTTATGTTTGACACGAGATTTAAGAAATATTGCTATTATATTATATTAGTAGAAGGTAAAAAGTACAAGTAAAAGACTTTTTTGCCCTTGTGAGTGTATTAGTGTAAAAAGTAGTGGCAATTGTGTAATAATAATGAAATAGTAAGGGTAGTTTTATAGAGATATGATTATTTATGGAAATGAGACTATTGTTTTAGGATGGACAAAAATGGTAAACAAGACTATTGTATTAGGACGGATGGAGTATATTCCAACAAATTCTAACTCTATTTATATTTCTGGATTGTTTGTTATCTTAACAAAGTCTAGTTTTATCTCTATTGCTAAATTATTTGTCATATGAATTTACAATTCAATAAATTCTCATTTGAAAACTGGTTGCACTTATTATATTCATTTCTCAATTTCAACTACAACGCCAAATTTTTGTATTTTCATTATCCAAGGTTTGTTGAATTTATACATAGCTCCAACTTCTCTAAGGATGCAACTTTAACCAATATATTTGCAGTCATAAGGGTATTTTTTTTTTTTTTCTATCGCTAGCCAAACACTATGGCTTATTTGAAAATCTTCTATACCATGAATCCAAATATTGTGATATAACCGCCATTGTCTAACTATTCTACAAAGATCAAATTCTTCTTCGAATCTTGTATTTGTTTAACATCATACAACTTCCACTCACATCCATGGAAAGTTATGATTTTGACATCCCTCTTTCTCACAATCCTTAATGGCTTGTCATCTGCAAGATCAATAACTCCAAAATCCCTGGAAGTATAGTTTTCCATAATCTTTGAATTACTAGAAGGGTGAAACGAAGTCCCAAAGTCCAACACCCATGACTCTAAGAGAGTAATCGAGCTTACAATGAGAGGAACTATGGTGCTTTAATGTCTTCGTTGTTGTGTTGGTTGAATTGTTGTTCATTTTATTTATTTTGTAGGCGCTTTTAACTAGGGAAGTCAATTGGGTCCGTTCTAAACCGGATCTAATCTGGATATGATATAAATTTCCATATTAAGAACTCTATTTAAACCCGGAGCCGTATCTGAAATTGAATCTGTATTATATGATATTGGATCCGATGTGCTTTGAACCTAGTCACAATCTATATTTGAGACTTTCTATAATGTTTGATCATGTAGAAAAACATTGGTTGAACACCCTCAATTGGCTCATACTGAAAATGCTACCGCCACACTGCATCACGGGATCATCACCTCCTACTTTGGGCCCCACAATACAGTGTTAAGACTAAAATTAACTATAAAAGCACATCATTATTTAACATAAGCAATTTTATGAATATTTAGAAATGGCCTCGGAAAATTGCTTCGGACTTTCAATTGATTTCGAAGCAATAAATTTTAAAGCTCGGAATTTCCATCGGAGCGGTTCCCGAATGTAACACCCCCAGTTGGCTCATACTGGAAATGCTACCGCCACACTGCATCATGAGGTCGTCACCTCCTACTTCGGGCCCCACAACACAGTGTTAAGGCTAAAATTAATTATATAAGCATTTTATTATTTCCAAAAAACAAGTTTATAAATATTTACAAAAACATACTCCCAAAACGGGAGGTTTTTCTAGTTAGAATTTACATATAATACATCAGATGCTGTTCACTCATTCAACCCGTCTTTCTATCTCCCGAGACGTCCCCTGTCCCGGAGGTGCCATGCGTACCTGAATCAAATATTTTTCTTAAAAGCAGTCTAGAATTAAATCCATTTTAAGAACTAACATAAAATATGCCATGTCATGCTCGAAAATAGAGTTTAATTTCCGTCATTTGCAAAATAAATGCCATGCCATGCCCATACTGAAATAATGTAACAATAATGTCAAAATCGACAACTCATGCACATATACCCATATACATATGTCAAAGTGAGCAGCCGGAATAACCTCGGCTCCATAATAACAGCTCACTAGACTATCATCAATAAATAGCCGGAAAATCCTCGGCTCAAGGAAGGACCTGGTAAACCCATAA